GATGGCGGAGGAGTGAGGAGGCGGAGCAGGTAGGACGAGCGGAGACGGAGGAATGATAAGAAACGAGGAAAGGAGGGGAGGGAGGGAAGAGGAGGCGGAGGAGGAGAGGGGAAGGATAAGGAGGAGGAGGAAGAGGAGGAGGAGGAGGAAGGAAGAAAGAATGGAGGGAAAAAGAGAATGTGCGTCCTCGGGAAGCATTTTCAGGATCTCCAGCAGCGTCGGGTAGCTCTCCGGGTTCTGACCGTACCTAGAAGCTCCGATCCGCATCGCTGCCCTCCCGCCCAGTATGCGTGCACGGAGGTTCCATGACGCCCCATCTGCCCCTCCCTCGTACCCCCTACTCCCGATCCAACCACAACATACTTGTCGACCTCATTCTTCTCCTCAGCCTGCCCATCCTGTCTTATTGCCCGCCGCGGTCTCACCTCCCTCTCTCGCTCCCTCCCTCCCTACTCGCTCCCAGCTCCCCTCCGCCCCTCGAGGAACAGGCAAATGAACAGGAAACAGGAGCCTCTCTCTCCTTCCCTCCACCCGCCTTTTTCGTTATCCCGCGCCCTTTGTTTAGCTTCTCCCCCTCTGCTGAGAGGGCAAGTCGTCTGGGCCCGCGGTCATCACAAACGCGGTCGTTTTCGCTGCGATCGTCTTCGCCCGATCGTCTTCGCCGAGACGTCTTTGCCGGATCGTCTTCGCCCTTTCGTCGTTACCTGGTTCTCTTCGCCTGGTCGTCTTCGCCCGGTCGCCTTCGCCCCGCCGCCTTCGCCCAATCACCTTCGCCTAGTCGTCTGCGCTGGCCACCCGCCCGACCCGCCAGCCGGACCAGCCTGTTAGATCCGCAAGCGCCCACCCGCTCGCTGGCCGGCCCGCCTGCCCGCGTCGGTGCCCCGCCCGACCCGCCGGCCAGTGCCCGCACGGCCAGCCCGCCTGACCAGCGGCCGCCCGCTCGCCTGCTTGCCTGCCCGCCCGCCCACCGCAGTGCTCCACGCACACGTCCCGCCCGTCGGGGTCCGCCCGCGCGACCCGCCCCGAGGGAGGCAATGGACCGAGGTGACCGAGGCTCCGGTCCAGACAGCTTGAAGGAAGGCTGGCCTGACAACACACCGCCGCAACCACTCGCGTACACACACACACACACACACGAGGGGCCCGCCAGACGGAGGTACGTTGCACTGAGCTGCGTTAAGGGAAGGTCGTGCCAAACCAAATCAGTGCACGCGCGTTGCCGCCATCGAACGAGATGGCGTTAGCTGCATTCAGGCAACCTTACGTTGTGCTCATCGAGCGAACAAGAAACGGGTCTATGGCAGCATGAGCTCAGTCAGCCTAGACCAAACCAATGTTAGAACATTATAGTGTATGAGTCCGCGACGAAAACTGAGAACATAGGCCCATATACACTGAGTGATCGCTTCCCTGAGAGGACGGCATGCACTGTATGCACACGCGTTGCAAACTATCACGCAATATGATCAAGGCTGAGAGATGGGGAAAAACAATAACAACACAACCAAACACGTTCAGACATAAAAATGATTAAGATATGGCTGACCGAGGAAACCTCGGCCAGCGTTCTGGCAACATCGTTCGCAAGCGCTGGGCTGGATTCGCGCGTGTTGCCCCATGAAGTTGCAGGGGACTGAGAAGCTGAGCCAGCTTTCCCATTCTGGAAGCTGCCGAAGGATCGCTGGGTCAGACCGAATATGGGAGGCTCCTGACTGACCCGCGAAACTGTGTGCGAAGGGGTACCTCACATAATGTCTGCTGTCAGAAGCCGCACGTAACATAACGAATCACACCAAGGCAGCTGCAATGAGCGATACCTGGACAACAATGTTCATCAGCTGTCACGATGCGACGACTGGAGAGTAAGGTAATGTAGCTCTCGCTATAGCGGGTGAACGAATCAAGCTGCAATATCCTGAGCTAGCCAAGAATAGCCCATCACAACGCTGGAGAAGGCCAACCAGGTCAACTGAGATCCGGAAGGTATTATGACATGACCCGTGGGAAGACAAAGTATGCAGATGTGAAGTAGGCTGACATGGGCAACATGGTGACCTGCTCAGACACGGCAAACCTAACCAAACCTACTATAAGCAACCTACACGGTGAATTGGTAAGGGGGGTATGATCAGGGCGAGCTGGAATAGCGCATGCCAGTTTTGCAGAAACGGGTAGGTCGCTTATGCCCAGCGTCCAGGCGAGGAAACGCCACTTCCAGACCGTTCGCCGATACGACGGCGTCCTTGCATTAGGAGTGAAAGCGGCCCCCTCCCTCGGGCACGAGAAGGGAGAAAAAGAGACCTTGGAAAACAAGCCGTATGACTGTGCGTCTGTGGCGGACCTGGCATGAAACAAGTAGACTATGTTCCGCACAGTTTAGAAGAACACAGACGGCGCTGGCTGAGAGCGCCTCTGGCCAAGCAAGGCCCACCTCCAACGTGTCTGCCGCATCCTTCTCCCTCCCTGCCTGTCCCCTCGTGTCAAGTTTTAGCCCTCCGGGGCTCCTCTTGAACAGAAGGTCCACGGGGTCTGGCCCAGCGTTGTCCATCTGGGGATCTCTCTTTGTCCCTGTGAGAGACGGAAAGGGGGAGGGGGGCGAGAGAGAAGGGCCGAGAGAGAGAGAGAGAGAGCGATCGCAAGGTAGAATTAGAAAAGCAGAAACAGCTTCGTCCATGCACGTAAAGAAACTAAGCACGACGGGGGTGCATTCAACCCGCCTCCGACGAGCCCTAAGGAGATCGGAGCGGAGCAAGATGAACCCGCCCCAGAACCATATCGGCACCTCTGGGAAGATGAAAGGAGGACGAGGAGGCGGAAGTTGCGAGAAAGAGAGAGAGAGAGATACATAAATGTTTATATATATATGTGTGTAGACCGGAAAGAGAGAGAGAGAGTAACACAGAGAGAGAGAGCAAAGAGACAGGGGGAGGGACTCCTCTTCCTCCTCCTCCTCATCCACCTCCTCCTCCTCCTCCTCATCATCATCATCATCAGCATCATCAGCGGAATCAGTATCAAAGCCGTCATCATCATTATCATCAGCATCATCAACATCGTCATCAGCATCAGCATCATCAGCATCATCATCGTCAACATCCTCATCAATAGCGTCGTCGTCATCGTCGTCATCATCAACATCATCATCGTAATCGTCATATTCATCATCAGCATCATTAACAACATCATCCTCATCCTCATCCTCATCATCCTCATCCTCATCACCCTCATCCTCATCCTCATCCTCATCCTCATCCTCATCCTCATCCTCATCATCATCATCATCATCATCATCATCATCATCATCATCATCATCATCATCATCATCATCATCATCATCATCATCATCATCATCATCATCATCATCATCATCATCATATTTCGGTTCCTCTGCCTCTCCCTTCTCTTCTCCCTCCATCCCCCCTCACAACCCTCATCGCCCTCGAGCCCCCTACCATGCTCCGCCTAGACCTCATCCTCATTCTCCTCCTCCCCTCCTCCTCCACCTGACTCTCCCTATCTTGCTCGGCGGCGAAATGCGCAGCATCCTCGCGGCAACATCGGGCAAAGCCAAAGATCGAGCCAGACGAAGCGACCACACCCACGCGCGCCAGGAGGATCCATAGGGGCGATGGGAACCTCCCTCTCCTCCCCCTTCCCATCCTACTCCTGATGTGGCATCAACGAAACGGGCCCAGAGGGGAACAAAAACAGGTCCTGAACCCCTGGGGCCTATTTCCGCCATGACTAGCTTCCCGTCCCGAGCAGTTCTGTTGACGATCCTTGTTGACGACCCCTGAAGCCCGAGAGCGGTGAAAAAACACTGAGAACCGATCTCCCTCAGGACACCCCTTCTCTTCGAATGCGGCAACTACAGTCATCGTGCTACAAAAGATACGCTGCCCACGTCGAGCCAGGGCCACAGATAGGTCACCCGATCTGCAAAAAACTAAGCGGCCCGCAAGCCAAAGCCCCTCCTGAACACCGAGTGGCCCTTCTCTCCCCGAATCTCTACTGACGCACCACACGGTGTGGTCAGGACACCGTTTGGGGGGGCCCTCGACGCCCGACGGCTCTCGCATCATCATCGGGCCTCAGGCGGCCTGAACTTCGGCACGATGCGGACAGCCCCGGAAAGCGATCGGCGGGGTGCAGCTGCTCGAACGCATCACGAGGTCACGAGGCGGGAACACCGCCAAGAACCCACGAGATCGGCCCACAACCCTTTAGATTGTTTCATACCAAAATGCAAAAGAACTGCGAGCCTCAAGGCCTCCGAAAGCTCCGAAGGCCCGCCTCGCCGGCGCGGCCTCGCCGCGCAAAGGTGCGGCCACCGCGGCCTCGCCGCGGCGGCGTGCCACCCCCTCGGGGGCGACCACGGCCTCGGCAGGGCGATGGGTACTCCTGCGCGCTCCCGGGCCAAGCCGCGGGGCGCCGCCCAGCCGCAGATCCTGGCGCTGGCTTCGTCTGTGTCTCGGCCCCTGGACGCCGTTTAGCAGCCCCAGGACCTCGAAAAGAAGACCTGTGGAGGCTGGCAAGGGGTGTGACAAAAAAGGGTGTGGTGCCAATCATGGGAATGGCGATGTGATCTACGATCAATAACCCGCCAGATTCATCATTGGCACTACATCACACCCCCTTCCTACCTCCAGAATGCCCAGGGCGAAACACCAGCTCTGGGGAAGTGGGAGGATGTTTTCTTGTTCGACTCCAGCATGCTTGCGTCCTTGCATGGGGGGAGGGGGGGGGCGTGGCGAGGCCTGGAAGGACATCTGGGCTCCACGCAAGTCGGGACTCACTTGCACGCCCTTTCGGCCCAGCGCTGTCTGCAAAGGCGGAGGGGGGGGAGGGAGAGGGGGGGGGGCAGCCAACTGCCATGCACGCGAGCTTGCCTGAATCCCAACGCCCTCTGGTCGAGATCCCAAGTCCCAATGAAACCGGAGTCACCAAAAAAGGCGGCAACGTCAGAGAAAAGGGCAGGCCGCCAGGTGACGGACTGGCCCGAAGCCGCCTTTGGCGATCTCGGCGCACCTGAGAGGCCCCGCCCCCCTTGCGGTTCGCCGATGGCGCGATCACCCGGATCTCGGCGGTCCCTCGGCGGTTCTCAGAGATGGGACCCTGAAGGGCGGGGGCTCCGAGGACCAGCGGCATTGCAGCGAGAGCTCAGCCTGAGGTTTCGTTTCCTGCCCTTGGGGCCCCATCCCCCAACGCCCCATAATTAGACAGCCGGCTAGCTCCCCCCTCCCCCGCCAACTCGATTTACGCCCGAGACCGAGCTCGAGGACGCGCAAGGTACGAATCCAGAGGTCCTCGGGCGCACGCGTGGGGCCCTCAGGACGTCAAGAGCTGCCCGACATTGCGGAGCGCGGGCTCGAAGACGCGAGGGCGCCCTTGAGCAGAAGCTCGAACGAAGACGCAGGAACGGCCGCATGATCACAGGCGCGAAGACGCGCAGAATCGAAACACACAAAAAGCACCCCATCATTGAGCAGGTGCCCGAGCGCAAAGTGCCGCGCGCTGCTGCCGAGGGCGCCTGATGCCCACCCCCACCCCCTGCCCCCCGAGGCGGCGGGATGCGGCCACGGGGGCCCCCTCCTGGATCGCCAGGTCCGCGAGCGCGACGGCCAGCGCGGTGTGGATGGGCTGGCACTCGGGCGCGCGGAACCTGGAAGGAGGGACGACGTGGGGAGGAGGAGCAGACGAGCGATGGGGGCAGGGAGGGGGCCAAGCGAAGGGGAAACCAAAAGAGCGTCCTCGGACTGCCCCGTCGACCGCGGGCGGTGGGCTGGAGGACTGCACGGCCAGGCGGCGGCCGCCAAGCACCCTTCGACCTGGCCCCCCCTAGGGGTTGGGCCAACGGCCGGCGCCCCCCCTCGGCAGGTTCGCGGCGATCCGAAGCACCGCCGACGGGCGGGGCGGGGGGAGCGGCGAGGCACCGCCGAAAGCCAAGGGGGGGGGGTCCACGACGACAGGGGGAGAGAGGGGGAGGGAAGGAACGAGGGAGCAGGGTGTGGGGAGAGGGGAAGTGGGAGGCCACAACGCCCGAAGCGGCCCATGGCGACCCGCAGGGGCACTCTGAGGCCCCTGTGAGCCTCACCAGGAGCACCACAGGCCATCCTGCTCCTGCTGTTCCTTCAGATCCTCTTCCTGTTCCTGCCACGCCTGCTGCTGCAGGGGGGAAGGAGAAGGGGGGGGGGAAGGAGGGAGTGCAGGAGGGGCCGGGAGGGACGAGCAGAGAGGCTGAGGGCGAGACGGACGAGGGGGAAGATAACATGCGACGGCGCCTCGAGAGGACGACCACTCACCTGACCACACGAAAGGATGAGCACCTATCGCGGTGCCTCTGGATGAAAGCGTGCCTGCTCCCGGACCCGAATCCTCTCTGCTAGCTGCGCCTTCCGCAACTCGTAGCTCCGGGCCTCAAACGCAAGTGGCGGGGGCGGTTGCGCCAGCGGGGCGCGGGCCCGAACCCGAACAGTGGACACACCTGGCGGGCGGCACGGGCCGCGACATTGCAAACATCAACCTGAGGAAACGGGGCTGCCTTGTCGATCACTGCCCGATGCTTTGGGATGTGCCCCACGCCCCTCGTGAGAGCCTGCAGGACCTCCTTGCCCTTGAAGGCTGGGGTCAAGCAAACGTTGTTCGAGTCGGCACCGCGGCCTTGAGGCCATTCGCCACATTGCGCGCAAAAGAACACTTGGACATGTTGCCTTCTGGGGACTCCCGGGACCTTCGCGAGCCCAAGGGACACTGACGAGCCGCCGACCGCCACAACACTGCGTCCCTTTGAGGCCCCCCAGGAACGGGTTCAGAAAGCTTGGAGTCCCACGACTTTCATCAACAGGCGTGGATTCACCAGGTGTAGCAGTCATTACGCACTGTTTGGTCAAGGGCAATCTGGGCGCGCATCTACCACCCGATTGGCTACAGCATGCAGGGACTCTTCCTCGTCCAAACTTTCGGTCACTTCCTCACTCCAATGGGCATTACATAATATGGCGCGTGAGCTGGATCCTGGAGGCGCCAGGCAGTGGTGTCGCAATAAGTCCGACTGCAGCATGCACACTACTGGGAACGACCTGCCCCCACAGACAGTTTTAGGCTTGCGACACCGCGGCAAGACACTCGGGGCCGGCGCAATTTTCTCCGTCAGGCATCGAGCCCGCCAACGCATAGCCAAGGTACTCTGCGAACGCGGGTGTCTCAGGCGGGTTGGGGGGCATCACGGCACCTCGCGTTTTTGCGTTTTTCGTTTTCGGTTTGGTTTCGAGGCTTCGGGGTGAACCGTTTCAGTCCTCCATTCCTTCCCTCTTCTCCACGTCGCAAATCTCTGCGGCTTCCCCAGTAGCAGTAGTCGACGATAAGCTCCAGATCCAACATGCCACGCTCTCCCCTGCGTCGGGGATGCCAGCTCGCTTCGCCCAGTGCTCGGCGAGTTTCTGCTAGAACGCCCCCTGATCTTCAACAAGTGCGAACGATTAGATGACGAGGGCGACGACGAGGACGACGATGACGGCATGGACGGCGACGACGACGACGACGACGACGACGAGGAGGAGGAGGAGGAGGAGGAGGAGGGCGACGAAGACGACAGACGACGAGGACGACGACGACGACGACGAAGACGACGTGGACGACGAGGACGACGACGACGGCCACGCTGCTGCTCCTCCTCGCCGAGGACCTCGCACTCTCGCTTTGTTCCTGCGCCTGCGCGGTCGTCGCTTCCATCGCCAACAGTAGGAGCCTGGACGATTGCGGCTCGACGCCAGCAGCAGTGCCATCCAGCGTTTTAGGACTGCGCTTGGCTATTGCTGTTGTTGGAACCTTGCAAGAACTTCCCGCCTGGGCTTTTGCGAAGCCCTGAAGACTCCTCGGGGACATCCTCGGCGGCGAAACTCGATCAACGGTGATCGAGATTGGGCGGTCTTCTGCTGCACAGATGTTGGCTGCTTCGTCGTCTCCGCAAACTCTTCCTGCAGCCGCGCCACATATCTTATATGTTTATGTTCGCAAAGATCTCGGCATCACGCCTCTAGACTGAGGATTGCAAGACGTCTAGCATCGTGCGTTTCTCAGCGGTGTCTTCCTCCATCCATGCCAGACTGCAAAGTCTTGCCCTGCTCTGCGATGAGCCGTTGCGGGAGCCGCGCTCGCATCCAAGGTCGGCAACGCGCTCATTTGGGGCACGTAGATCCGCATCCTTGATTTATCTGGCGGCTTCCCCAAGCTCCGTGATCTCAAACACGGGGCGGTATCGCTTGACCGCGTCACTGACAACTTCATCTCCTCAGGGCGAATCATGCCACGCGCCTTGTACATGTGTTCGACGTCATGGGGAAGGCGCACCTGTCGACTTCTGAGTCGTTGTCACTGAAGGTAAGACTAACTTGAGCAACTGGACGATCTGAATATCCATTTTCTGAAGCCGAACTGTATCGCCGTTGCCTTGAAGCTCACCACGTCTTTCATCGTCGTCCCGTCAGTTGCAATTCGGTCCGTTACTTTATGCACGACCTGACTCACACTCAGTTGCGCTCTATTTGGCTCGCACCTGGATCCTGCACAGGGCCGAGCTGCAGCACTGGCCCCGCGGGTCTGCCGTGATTGTGAGATTTGGAACCACGCGGACTTGTCCGCAGCACTATACGTGCAAAACCTGGCTGTGGTGTTGACAGCATGAAAAAAGGGTGGGGCCGCTGTTCCCCTTGCCAACAAAAAATACTGCCCTGAGCAACAGCGCAGCGGAATTGAGCCAACAATGGCGACGGACGAAGTGGAGAAGGACGAGGAAGGAAACAGGGGAGAGAGAAGGAGGAAGGATGATGATGATGAGCAGGGAAGAGTTGGGAGAGAGGAGGGGGGGACAGAAAGGATGGCGCAGGGAGGAGTGAAAAGAAAGCCGAGATGAGTAACAGGGAGGAATCAGGGAGGGCCCCTTTACCAGAAGAGCCTGAAGGCTGACCGCGCAGGGTGGGCGAGAAAGAAGAGGAGGGCCTCGCCCGCACCGCGCCACTTGGTTGAAAGCGCGGGCCGACGCCGAAGCCCTGGGATAGAGGCCACGGGACAACAAGCCCAGGTTCCCCCTGCCATTCCATGAGAACTTTTGCGGGGAGGGGTCCGCCAGGCGCGCGATCGCCCTGCCGATAGCAAAGCAGGGCGGGGGGAAGGAGGGTTGAGGAAGAGGAGGAGGAAGAAGAAAACGTGGTCAATTGCACGTGGATGTGGCACGAACTGCCCGGCCGCTCCCGTTTTCTCGTTGTCCTTCGAGTTGCGCCTCCTGTCCAACATCTGCAGCGCTCTCTCCCTGCCCCTGTGCAGCCCCGAGCTTCGCTAGCCCGCGATCGGCCACGCGCGTTTGATCAGCCCGCAGGTCAGGCTTCGCACTCTCTCCCGACCATCCTCTTTGCGCCCTGTGCCGCGAGGCTCCCGTCTGTCCCACGCCCCCGCCCCCACGGGCTGCCTAACGTTTGGGCCCCCCGCGGCCCTACAGTTCGCCCAAGGAGGAGGAGGGGGAGGAGGAGGAGGAGGAGGAGGAGGAGGAGGAGGAGGAGGGGGAGGAGGAGGAGGACAAGGAGGAAGAGGAGGAAGAAGACGAGGAGAAGGAGGACAAGGAGGAGGAGGAGGCCGAGGAGGAGAGGGAGGAGGAGAAGCCGCGGCCCGCCCGAGAGATTCAGGCGCGTGCTGCTGCCAAGCGTGGCGGCCAGCCCTCAGGTGGGCATCGGTCGCCCGCGATCACCGAGACCGCATCCCGGATCGATTCGCCATGTAGTTCCCAAAGGCCCTGCTTGCATGGCTTGCGCGTCTCTCAATGCTACTCTTCCTGCTTCTCGCTCTCCGAGCACTGCATCTAGCAAAGCATGTCAGAGGCTTGGCTACGCCGCTAGAGGAAGAAAGACAAACGAATTCACAGTTCGCTCACGCACGATCTATTTCATGGGCGAACCAGTCAAACCGAAAGCAAAGCATGACGGCGCAACAGATAGATCGCTGCAGGATCTTGAAACATTAGATGGACGATTAGGGCCAAAAACAAGTACACTTAGTTGTATCTCCTCAAATCAAACCTGGTCCGTTGTCTCCGCCGCCGCCCCAGTACACGGTGGAAGAGGTGCCACAGCCACCGTATCTGTCAGCAGATTCCATTGGAGTCGAACATCCAGTGCCACCCCGTTGGTCGCAGTGCAGTTGGCGAATGTACAGCATCGCCTGCTCAACCTTTTGATCAACCCGTCAGAACATATACAACAGACGCATACAGCTGTACTGTCACATGATTTTCATGTTTGAGCTGAATGGCATCCGGGAATCATGTGGGTTGTGGATTCGAACACACGCAGCCGCATCATGCACTTCAACAGACAGGTGCCGATGCAATCTACAGCAGCTCTAACAGGTAAAGACAGAATTGACAACTCGGCGGACACAGTTGCCATGGGCGAAGGGCCACCTGAGCGCATTCACTTAATTGGAACCTATACAGTTGCAAACGCGCCTCAAGCATTCGCTACTGTTGCACATACTGCTGCAGATGCGCCTCATGCATTGAACACGTGCGCGTGTTGCAGATGCAATTGCAGACACGCCTCAATAGATGGCAAAGGACAAACAAACCAACTACGTTGCTGGTCTCATGAAATCGAAAGGGAAAATCCCTATCCTTGTGCAATCAGAGCTCGCATTGCTTCTGCCGCAGATCTTACACTCAATAATTCTATATGTGACGCTTCAATTCTCCATGCCGCGGTAAGGAAGGCCATCTTTCGTTGGCCTCACGCACATGATGTCACGGCTATTGTTTTGTGTGACATGCGTGGCACGCACATTATTCATCTCGCGCGTTTGTTCTGTCGCAAGTGCTGTCTCGGCCGTTGTATTGTGGTCCATGTTTGCTTCCATATGGTCTTTCACCTTTACATACAACACACTCTGCTTTCATCGCGCGCGTATGTTATCTCATTGCATGTTTTTCTTGAGCGGCTCGGTGGGGGAGGAGGTGGAGAATAAAAGCAGCCAGCGCCACTGCAACACTCACTCTGGCGCGCATTTGGCGCGTCGTCCTACGAAGTGTTGCCACAGCTCGCTGTCTTCCGTCACATGCGAGGCTCGCACTTCGCTGTTTGCTCATCTTCTGCGTTTTGGTGGAGAAGGAGGTGGCGGATAAAAGCAGCTAGCGCCGTTGCAAAACTCACTCCGGCGCGCATGTGGCGCGTCGTCCTACGATTTGTTACCACAGCTCGTTGTATTGTGTAACATGCGTGGCTCGCACATGTTTCATCGCACGCGTATGTTCTCTCACTGTTTGTTCCTCTACAGAGACATGGGGTGGAGGAGGGGGAGGAGGGAGGTGTGGGGGAGGAGGAACGCTTGCTCTCACGGTATCGCACTACAGTAGCTGCTCCCAATGTTTTACGCCTCGCTACAGGCCAGCCCACTGGGCCAGCCGTGACCTCCCACCGACAGTGAAGAGAGCCTACCAGGCCAGCCACCTACGCACCAGCCTACAATCAGCAGTCACAAAGGGCCCGCGCTAAACCCGACAAGAATTTACAAAAAGCACGCGGCCCCAGGTCCAGGCGGTTAGGGATAAACCCACAAACCCTGGGTAGCAGCCCAAGAAGTGCCGCCAAGTTTGCACTCAGCATCTTTAGTCTCTCGTTTCTGGTACACTGCCAACCCTCGCCTGCACTTTTCTCTGGCAGCGTAGGCTCATCAGTATTACCTGGCTACTGCGCCATGCTTGTCTTGCTGTTTACCTGTGATATGAGGCAGCGCGTAATATTTCGAAGGACGAGGAAGTGGTGGAGGAGTGGGCTCATGGGGAGGAGGCGTGCACTTACCAAGGTACCAGGGCGGGCGCCTTTTCCATTGTCTACTCTTTTCCTTGTCTCGTGTTCCCTCGTGGCCCGCGGCGCCCGCCAAGTCCTTTTTGCTTGCGCCGAGTCGGGCACGCCTTTTTCCCCTAGCGCCAAAGGGTCACCTTAGGTTGGTCTAGCGTAAAAGGGGTCGATCGATCGAGCTCTCGGGCCGGTTCGGTGCTACGTTCGCTCTGGACCCTGCGCTGCTTGACAAAATCTGGTGGCCCAGCTGTGACGTCCTTGCTGCAAAGGGGTTGCAGGCGCCAATCGACGCTCGGGCCCTACCTGCACCGACCTCCCCCACGCAAGGGGTCGCGGGCAGGGTAGCACCCGCTTTTACGGGTGCCCTCTCGCTCGCTCCTCTTCCCCCCTGCTCGGCTCTCCCCTCCCCCTACCCTTTCTCTTCGGTTCGGGTGGGTGGAGATCGGTGCACTACATAATACTCAGGGAAGCTCTGGCCTCGGAGTTGGTAGAGGTCGGGAGTCTCGGTCGTCGGAGGAGGAGTGGGGAGGCGGCCTTCCCTGACTAGCTTTCTGAAGCGCTCGCTAATTCTGAAGGCCTGCGGGATCGCACGGGCTGCACCGGCCCACGAAGCTGGACAGGGCTGGACTGTTTTCTCGTGGCCGTCGGCCTCACGCTCACTGCGGCTAATTGCCTGGGACGTCTCACGGTGAGCTGCGCCCTGAGCTGTGTCTCGCGCCTCTGCTACCAGCCGTTGATCAGGCGGCCCAGCTCGCGCTCCAGCGCTCCCTTCGGCGCCGATCCCGTCTTGCGAATGGCTCCCTCCTTGCGCAGCTGGCGCACGAGGATCGTCTCGATCTGGTGCAGCGTGGTCTTGACCGAGAACTGGAATCGGCATCGTTCCTGAGCTCCTATCTCTTTGCCCTTGTTCTTGCGCACCCTGAAAACTGGAATGCCGTCCGCCACCGCCTCCGCGCTGCCAGATAAAATTGCGTCCTGGTAGTACTTCTCCAGGTGCTCACGTTCTGGCCCTTCATCGAGGGCTCGTCCGATGTAGTTCGCTACCTCCGTCCAGACGCGGATGTGCGGGCTGCCCAACGACGCCGTGTCCACCTGCTCGCCCGTGCCCGCGCGGCGTCGTAGTTCCAGTGCCTGCTCATTGTACGCTTGTCCTGCTGCCAGCGCTGCCTTGGCGATGCCGCTGTTCGTGTCGGGTCTCCCACGTCTGCATCACCGCCGCCCTTAACTCTGCATGTTCCCTGGCCAACGTGAGCGTCAACCGCGCCGTGAGGTCCACCACCTGCGCGTGCTTGCGCGCCGCGCCTCCTGCTGGCCCAGCGGGTGCTCCACCGAGCGGGCGTCGCGGAGGAGGAGGAGGAGGAGGAGGAGGACGAGAAGAAGGACGAGGACGAGGGGAAGAGGAGGACAATGAGGAGGAGGAGGAGGAGGAGGAGGAGGAGGAACAAGGTCCTGCTGGCCATCGAGCATCCTCATCACTCGAAGGGCCCCCGGCGGCCCGCGGCCCGCAGGAGGGCCCCCCGGCGGCCTGTCTATGTGATTCAGGAGAGAGTCGCGCAGGCTCCCGTAGCTCCCCTCGGGCAGCTCGTAGAAGTCGAACTGCACCTCCCCCGACGGCGACGCTGACGACGACGACCACGTCCAACACATCGATGGCGACGACCACCACCACTACCACCACCACCACCACCACAACGACCTAACGACCTCTACCACCGCAGGAGACCCTCGGCGCACAGAAGGGGGCGGCGCGGGGGGGGCGGCATCCCGAGAAGCCTGGGGGGGCCTCTGCTGAGAGGGCATGGGCCTCCTTAGAAGCTCCCCTGGCTCCTGAGAAGGCTTCTTGAAATCCATGGACCATGCAGGTTCGTGTCGTGACGAGCAAGGCGTTGGTTTCTGACACTGCATGGCTCGTTCAACCTTGAATGACCGGGGGCTTAGCGATCGCCAGGAATCGCCATGTTGGCCGATTCTGGGCCACTGGCGGCATTCAACCTTGAATGCTAGCGGTGGAATCGCTGCCGCGTCAGCAGGACACGAGCCTGCCGTAAGACGACCCCTGCCTTCTCGGCAGCCCCTTTCGCCTTCTCAAAGGCCGCCGACCCTCGCACAACCCCCTTGTGTACGCCACTGGCTAAAGGGGCGGGAGGGCAGATCCTTTCGGGAATTCGCCAAGGGGGGGCAATACACGTGCGGCGAAGAAACGTGCACATTTCGAGCACCTTCTTGCCCGCGGTGGCAGTTTAGGAGCCGTATTGGCCCCATTCGGACCACGTCTCTGCAATCCTCGATCCCCCCCACGGTTATTGCACCGCGCTGCCGTCCGCCCGATCCACATCGGACAACCTTGGGAGACCCCAGGGGTGCATAGCTTCAGAACCAGGCGCAGCAATGGAGAAGACACCCCAGCGCGGACCCATCCACCAGTGAAATCAGGGTGCAGGGTGCCTCATAACTCCCCCAGGAGTGGGGAAGAGGAGGCTATGAGGCGGAGAAGGAGCAGGAGGATGAGGAGGAGAAGGGACAGGAGGAGCGAGGGAGGGAGGGAGGGAGGGAGGGAGGGAGGGAGGGAGGGAGGGAGGGGAGGAGGAGGAGGAGGAGGAGGAGGAGGAGGAGGAGGAGGAAGAAGATGAGAGCGCACAGCCGCGGAGAGCAGGGCAAATGACTGACGACGACGACGCGACACGACACGACAATGACAGACGACGGACGACGGCTTCTTTGCGCGACGTAGCCGCGCGAGGAGGAGGAGGAGAAGGAGGACGAGGAGCAGAAAGAGGAGGCGGAGGAGGAAGGAAGAGGAGGCGGAGGAGGAGGAAGCAAGAGGAGGAGGAGCGAGCGCCCCTGTTGAAAATTGTATACAGTTCTCGATGTGTGCGCGTCATCCTTGCGCAGGGGCCATGCTAATCTTCTCTGAATCGTTCCAATGGTAACGGATGCTCCCTGAAGGAAATTCAAGCGAGAGGAGGAGCAGGAGGAGGACCCATGAAACCCCAAGAATCATCAACCATGTTGGAATAAACCCTCCCTGCAAGCTCCTTCTCCATAGGTCCCTGCAACGATTCATGTCCACTGAGGGAACTGCCTCGGAAGACAACCGTTTGAGGAACCTGAAGCATGCCAAAACAATGCTCTCGGGGTTCCATAGCCCGCGGATCAACCTGACTGTTGCGTCTTGACGATCCTGAATCGCGCCAAAAGGCCATTCCTGGGACTTCTGGTACGTCGACGATGGGATTTCCGTGAAAATGGATGTGCGCGACGCGAAGGCGAGAGCCGCCTGCTGGAAAGGAAACCGCCCTCAGTCCGTGAAACTCCTGCAAATGTTTAAAACGAATGCGCGCGGCGCTAAGGCGAGAGCAAAAGCCACATTTTGAAAAGGACAGGACAGGACAGGACGCTGAGTACGTGCCGTGCGCGCGCGCGCGGCAGCGTGCCCTAAGGGCTCAGCAAAAGTCGATCAATCCATCTCGACAATGGTCGCCCCCGGGCTCGGCGCCCGTCAGGATCCCGTTTGGAAAAGGAACCGCCCTCAACCCGTGAAACTCCTGCAAATGTTTAAAACGGGTGCGCGCGGCGCCAAGGCGAGACCCACGTGTGGAAAAGGGGCCGCCCTCTCAACCCGCGAAACTCTTGCAAATGTTAATTACAAATATTCGCGGCGCTAAGACGAGAGCCACATTTTGAAAACGAGCCGCCCTCCATCTGTGAAACTGTTGTCAGTGTTTGAGCTTCAGGGTCATAAATCATGAGAAAGTCTCCGGCGAAACAACCAGCCCGCCCTAACAACTGGCATCGGGGTGTGACAGGAAGATATTATTCATAAGGAAAAGGGATGGAAGAGGAGGAGAAGGAGGAAGAGGAGGAGGGGGAGGAACGATCGCAGAACGCCACCCCTCCCCAATTCCCTCGCGACCCCACTGGCGCCCCGTACGGCCCTGGCAAACTGCGGTCGCGCCCGCCGCGCCCCCCCTCACTTAGGGCGGCGCCTTCGTGCGCAGCGTCTGGGCGGCGAAGAAGCGGTACTGGACGGGGGAGTCCCCGCTGCTCAGGATCTTGTCGGCCACCTGTCAAGTGGGGTCTGAGCTGGATGAGCCCCAGATTAATCGAGAGGACGGACGAGGGCAAATCCGCTCAAAATCTGCCCCCGGACTCCTCCCGGGGTCTACCCGGGCCAAATGTTCACCTCGGATCGATTTCCGGCGGTCCGGGGGCTCAAGAACGGCCCCTGGACGCTGAAAACCAGAGCTGGGCCACCTCGGCCCAACCACCTGAATCCCAATCCGCCGTACTGTTGGCGATTTCGCAGGTCGGGAAGAAACGTTCGCCATACGGTTCAAGCTCCTTCGATGCTGGGTTCCGCCCTACTTTGCCGTCGCTGGCTCCGCCATACGTGTGCGGAAATATCCGCCCGAGCACTCTGAGGCGGAAAGTTCCGCCCAACGTTCTCGCATCGTCTGGGAAGCATTTCCGACACAACTTTAAGTCCGAAGGTCAACAAGGTACGGCAGATCCAGAGCCAGGGCCTGAGCCTTAGATCGGGTCGGGCGAAAGGGGGGGATAGCGAAGGGGGGGTTTGAGAATCAGCTCACGCAGCTGATTTTCCCGGCGCCTCCCGGCGCCGGAGGCGGCTATGTATCGAGGAATGGGCCCATCGGTGGGGCCGAAACCAGCTGCATGCAGCAAATTTCGTAACCCCCCCTTTCCCAATCCCCCCCTTTCGCCCGGCCCGATTAGACCGTCTGTAGGGGGCAAGCAAACCTACCTCGCTTTTGACCACCCTCGCTTCCAAGAGATACCAAGCGATGCCAAACTACGGCCTGTACTGATCAGGCCGCTTGACGAGGAGGCGCGTGGTACGACTTGGTTTTGCCTGGACGCGAAAGCGGGGTAGGTAATTCACGTTCTGAGTCTGGGCCGATGCCCATCTGTGAACCAAACTGCGGGGCCGCAGCCCCTGACCCAACAAGCCTCTGCTGGCCGCTCGTGGCCGCCTTCGCTGCCAGGCCACGTCGCCGTGCAGCCCTAAGAGAGCCCCATGGCGGTTCAAGATAGCCCCACGACACCCTCCGAAGCATTCCAAATCGTGACTGGGGCGGGAGGAGGAGGCGGAGGCGGAGGAGTCGGCGGCCAGCCCCCCGGGGGCAGAGCGAGAGGGGGCGGGGCTTCTCGGAAGGCGCGGACAGAAGGCACACAGAGGACCGGACGACCTACCAGACCACCCCAACCCAACCCGAAGACCCGAATTTCGGGTTGGGGGGGGGGTACGGATTCCAGATGTGTTTTCTCGATGTTCCCCGACCCCCCCCACTGGAAACGGAGGGCAAATCGAGACCTTCGGGTTGGGTTGGGGTGGCTTGGTGGGTGGTGAGGACCTCTCAGAAGGCGCGAGGGCTTCCGAGGCCTGGGCGCCCCCAGAGCGCCCTCGGCGAGGCGCAGCTGCTGGCAAGCACCCTGAGGCTGGAAAACCGCCGAGACCCGACGCAAACATCCGAATGAACGAAAACGTCTCGGCTCGCCGGCGGGAGACAGACAACTCGGGCGGAACGAGGTAGGATAGCAAAGGGTAGGGTAGAGAATCAGCTCTCGCAGCTGGTTCCCCTGGCGCCTCCCGGCGCCGGGAGACGCCCACGTATCGAGGAATGGGCTCAGCGGCAGGGCCGAAACCAGCTGCAAGCAAAAGATGTTGTACCCCCCCATTCCCTGCGGCAGGGGGGGAACAATTAGTGGACACGCCCCCCCGCCCCCCCAAACTCAAAGCTGGCACGTGCGGGGGAGGCCGCGGTCGAAGTGGACCTCACCAGACCCACCGCCAACTCTGAACATTGGAGGGAGGGGGGAGGAGGAGGAGGAGGAGGAGGAGGAGGAGGGAGGAGGGGAAGGCGCTGACCGATGAACGTTGGCATACGTGCTCGCTATTTTTCCCGAGGAGGCCCGCCCTGTCGGGCGTGCGTCGCTGGCGGTCGCGCGTCGGCCCCGGGCGCGCGCACCCCCTCCTCTCCTCCTCGTCCTCCTCCTCCTCCTCCTCCTCCTCCTCCGCCTCCTCCTCCTCCGCCTCCTCCTCCTCCTCCGCCTCCTCCTCCCTCCCTCCTCCTCCTCCTCCTCCTCCTCCTCCTCCTCCCCCTCCGCCTCCTCCGCCTCCTCCGCCTCCTCCTCCTCCTCCTCCTCCTCCTCCCCGAACACCGAGGAGGCGAGACGACGGGAAGGGGTGCCTCGGCCACCCCCCGAGCCGGCTCCCGCCCGCCGGACGCGTCGCCAGAGGCCCACGGCGCGCGCCCTCCTCTCGCGCACGCCCGCGGAGCGGCGCACACGGGCGCGCTCTCTCGGCCGATCGCTCGCGGGGCGGCGCTCGCGCGCGCGGGGGGAACCCCTAAGGGTCAGACACCCCCCCCACTCAAACAAAACGCCCTTTTTCACGCCCCAGAAACTAGTTATCTTTTAAACGCCCTTTTTCACCAATGGAGAATAAGTTTTCCTCCACCAACAGTGGAGACTACTTATTTCTCAGCCGACGACGACGACGACGCCGACGATGACGACGACTACGACAGTACGAGGGGGGGGGGGGGGTGGAAACGAGGAGGAGGAGGAGGAGGAGGAGGGTGAGGAGCAGGAGGAAGACGAGGGACTCGTTCTGATTCCCCGCTGAGGGGAGCCGGGAGGGGAAACAAACTGAAGAGCCTCAGGGGTTAAGACGAAGCCAGGACGAGGATAAAACCGGGTGAGGATAAATCGAGAATCTCGGAGATCCGGCGGCTCTGGAGGATGTCTCGGGGGTCGCGGCCTTCTCAGAGCGTTCCAAACCGCTCTGAGAGCGTTCCAGAACGCTCTGGCACGGATGTACGCATCCTCGTTCTAGCCACGTCCGAGGGGGGGCCAACGGGCCTGCACGCGGGGGGGGGGGGGGGAAGCGCACCTCCCAGAAAGGGCGGAGACTGCGTGTCCTGAGGCGGCGGGGGCGGGGGGGGGAAGAGACGAGGAGAGGGAGGAGGCGGTTCACTGCCCATGGTGGGAGCGGAGAGCCAGGATAATAGACGAGGAGACAAGGAGGAGGAGGAGGAGGAGGAGGAGGAGGAGGAGGAGGTGAAAGAGACGACGGGAGAGAGACAGTAACTGGGAAGCGCCTACCAGGATGACGAGCTGCTCGGCCCCTGGCAGGGGCGACGAGCCATGCCAGGGCCGACCGGCAAGGGGCCCGAGCAAAAGCCCGACACCCTGTGGGCGTGCAAGAATGCCAGGTGATGTCTGGCAGGGTTCCTGTCATGTTTCCGAGGAACCCCCCTCTATCCTTATCGCCGCGCCCTCTTTCTAACGGAGCCAACTGGCGAAAGGCCAACCCAAAAAACTGGCCTCGGCGAGCCTCGGCCACGGAAGGGTTCCCCGACCTAACTGGATCTGAAGAACGGCCTGAAAACCAGGGCCCCATCTGAACCCTTGCAGCGCCTTGACCGCGCTGATTTCTTTCCCAGCGGGGATGCCAGTGTTGTCATAACCTCTACAGGTATGGCACCAGGAACAGGCTGCTGTTTGCCCTTATCTGCCACGCTGGTGCCGGTCCCTTATCGGCGCACCTCGAGCATTAATCCGCCGGATCGATGTTCGGCAAATTGCCCCAGCCGACCACAGATCTCGCGAGTAACTTGGTTGAGCTGCAGGATGTCGGCCAACTTAAGCACGTCCTCCTGCTTCTCCTCCTCCTCCACCTCCTACCCCTCCTCCGACAGCTACTCCTCCCCATCCCCGTTCCCCTCGTCCTTCTTCCCTGCATCATCGTAAGCAACATCGGCATCGTTACCATCATTCCTCCTCCTCCTCCTCCTCCTCCTCCTCCTCCTCCTCCTCCTCCTCTTCCTCCTCCGCTTCCTACAACAATGCGAGGGGGGGCCATTGAGACAACGACAGCTCTCCCGCCCCGCACAAGTTTGCTCAAGAGCGGGCTCCAGACCCCTCCCAGGCTCCAAGTCCTCACCCACTTCACGAGGTGGGTGCACGACCACGCGGTGACGAAAGGCCTCCGGAAGGTCCCCAAACTGCTGGACAAAAACTACAAGAATGGGCCGCCGCCAGAGGAAGAGCAAACTGCACAACCATACGGGTCGGTCGGAAGAGGTAGGTAGAAACATGAAGAAGGAAGACGGGTAAAGTAGATCGGGCTCAGGCCCTCCAAGAGAATAACAAAGCACAGCAAAAGCAGATCTATTGACGTAGGAAGGCGGTTGAAATAGATTGGGATCCGAAAACCCAAGAATACTTACTTTAGCTCCGCGCGGAGTGCCTGGATCGGCGCAAGGGGGCCCAACGCAGATACAAGACATCCGCGCGGAGCGCTGAAAAGATTATGCAATTTGGAGTTCCTTCTTCGAGCCGGTGTCTCGACTGGCCCCGCTTCCGACGACGACGACGACGACGTGGCCGCCGCCGCCGCCGACGACGACGACGACGACGACGACCCCAGAACGGCGGTGCCTGCCAGGCCTCGGGGGTCTGCTGGAACTTCGTGAGCCAGTCGTCCGCCTGCTTCTTGACGGCCGGGTCGGGCGAGCTGGCGGCGGACAGCGCTGCGCCCCGCTCTGGTCGTCACCCATCGTCGTCGTCGTCGTCGTCGTCGTCGTCGTCGTCGTCGTCGTCACCCGTCGTCGTCGTCGTCGTCACCCGTCGTCGTCGTCGTCGTCGTCGTCGTCGTCGTCGTCGTCGTCGTCACCCGTCGTCGGCGTCGTCGTCATGATCCTCGTCATCTTCCAGTGAAGCCAGGTAGCCTCCGATCGCCGAGAGTGGAGAGTGTTGCAGTACCTGTCGAGCAGCGTGTAAACTACCTTGAGTGTCTGCACGGGGACTTCTACGACTAGCATGTGGTGGTCCCGGGGCCGCCCACAACCTCTGCAGCCTCCTTTTACCCCCAGGGGAGCAGAAGGAGGAGGAGAAGGAGGAGGAGGAGGAGGAGGAGGAGGAGGGAGGGAGGGAAGGAGGGAGGTTGGTTGGTTGGTTGATTGGAAGGGAAGTAAGGGAGGGAGGGAGGGAGGGCGAAGGAGGGACGGAGGAGGAGAAGGAGAAGGAGAAGGAGGAGAAAGAGGAGGAGGAGGAGCAGGAAAGGACTTTCTCGTCACTTCGAAACAGGAAACAGGAGGAGGAGGGGGGAGGACAGAGAAAAAGGACGAGGACGGAGGAGGAAGAGGAAAAGAAAGAGGCCAGAAGCGAGGAGCGAGGATGAGGACGAGGAGGAGGAGACGGAGGACGAGGAAGAGGAGGAGGAGGAGGAGGAGAAGGAGGAGGAGGGGGAGGAGGAGAAGGAGGAGGAGGAGAAGGAGGAGGAGGGGGAGGGGGAGGAGAAGGGGGAGGGGGAGAAAGAAGAGGAGGAACGAGGAAGGAGGTGGAGGAGGGAGGGAGGGAGGGAGGGAGCTGTACACCTCGCTGCGAGGACAAAGGCGCTCTCTGAGGCCGAATGCGGAAAGTCCGCCGGGCGGGCTGCTGCGAGGCTCGCCGAGCTCTGCGAGGCGTCCTTGTGCCGACGATCCGCCATCCTTCCTCCTCCTCCTCCTCCTCCTCCTCCTCATCCTCCTCCTCCTCCCGACTCCCTCCCTCTCGCTCTCTCTCTCTCTCTCTCTGTATATATATCCCTCACTCCTCATCTTCCGGCTCATCCTCCTCATCCTAGTCCCTCTTCGCTTTCACACGCTTCTCCCAAGGGGCTCTCAGACGGCTTCAAGGGCTTAAATGCTGCTTGTCCTCCTCCTCCTCCTTCTCCCCCTCCTCCTCCTCCGTCTCCGCCTCCGTCTCACGATCCCATCATTGGCAGCACCATCATTGCCATCGCCACCATCATCACCACCATCATCATCATATTATTATTAAAATTCGTTGTCTTATTATTATTATTCTTCTCCATCATCATCATCATCAGCAGCATCATCATCATCATCAGCATCATCAGCATCAGCATCATCATCCTCATCATCATCATCATCAGCATCATCATCGGCGTCGTCATCACCGTCAACTACACTACCAGAATCACCTACCACAATCACCATCCTCATCACAACCAACATCGTCTTCCTCACGATTAGCGTCGTCATCAGCAGCAACATATCATAGACCACCGCGTCTGTTTGTCCGTTCCCCTCATCTCGTCCTCCTCCAGTTAGAGGAGGGAGGGAGGGAGGAAGGAAGGGGGAGGGAGAGGAACTAGAACTCCCCAATAAGACCCTATGGTGTCGTGCGCAGTCGGAAAGGGAGAGATGAGCAGGAGGAAAAGGAGGAGGAGGAGGAGGAGGCAGCATCGGAGACCAGAGCGGAAGGAGCGGGAGGAGCAGCAGGCCCAGGGAAAGGCGGAGGAGGGGGAAGGAGGGGGCGACAACGACAAAGACTCGGATGCGGACATGTGGGCCACGCAGGGGCGAGAGCGCCCTTCTGAATGACGGGAGCAAGGCGCCGATCCGAAACGAGGCCCACGCTGCAGCGGGAGCACCCTCTTGAAACACCGAAAAAAGTCAGACTGCAAACAAAACGTAAGAAACAACAAAACCGTCGCCCAATCCTGTGCAAATAACCATACGCGGAGAGGGCGGGGCATCTTCCAGGCAGAGTTAGGGTAGAGAAGAGAGTAATTCTCACTGTGTCTTATTCTATAGGAGGGAGGAGGGGACTGGAGAGGACCTAGGGGGTT